ACTCGCTGTGGAGATAATTTGAGTAATGCTTCCCTTGTTCTTTTCGTTTTGCTGCGTCGTTATTTTCCCTGCTAGGAAGTGCAATCTTCTCCTTCTCCTTCTTGGCTTCAGGGATAAAAATGGTATGGCTTGACCCTGGCTGCCTGGAGAGATTTGTTTAGTCTTTCCTGTGTTGTGGAGCACACAGTGTGTGCAGAGCAGCAAACCTGTCCAAGTTCAGCGGGACGGTTTGCAACGGGGAAGAGATGAGAAATATCAGGATCCAACATGAAGATTTCGATTTCCTCAAGGTGAGCTGCATGGCAGGAGGTCTGTACCATGTTTTCTTCAGTCCACTCTGAGCCGTGGGTTTGTTGGAGCTTGTCTCTTCATTTCCAATGCGTCCAGCACCTTGCAGCGACTGGAGAAGGGATGAGGAGTCCCTGGGGGGGTCACGTCCATCGCAATTCCTCTCTCCTTTTTATCAGGCCTCTGTTCTTCCAGACCCAGCTTTGGCTGAACCCCGGTGAACTTCCCTTCCATCCCCGTGCTCTTCCCCCTTCCCCACCGGCGCGTTCGCAGCCGTGAACTTCCCGTGCCCGACCCAAGAGTGTCTCTGAGAGGTGCGATCCAAGTCGTGGCAGGAATGGCTGCAGCCGCAGGAAGGAGATCGCTGACCCACCCCTGGCTCCCACTCAATCTTCCTAATCAGGGCAGGAATGTCTGTGGATGCGAGTGCTCCCGGCTAAAGGCGCTGTGGCCACTTGGCTCCCCTCGGCGAGTGCTTCCTTTCTGAGCCATCCGTGCGGGTCACGCCGGGCAGAGCACGCCCTGCGCCCTGATGGATCAGCATGTTTTGCTGCAGTGGCACCAATGGTGAGGGAGAGGGTTGGGAGGAAGAGCAGGATGATACACAGACTGAGGAAGGCCTGCAGGGTGAGTCAGTGCCACTGCTGCTCCTACCTTTGTGCGTGGAGATGGGCTTCTTCTGCTAAAGGCAATTCCTCTGTCCACACTGAGAGTGTTCTGGGATGGTCCATCACGGCATCCAGTGCTGGTTTCTTGGTGTGAATTTGGAGGTTTTTGGTCAAATGGCAGCTGCTTTCCCCTGCTCTCTGTCGCATGATTGATCAACAAGGAGATAAGACCTTGCAAACAGGGGTGTCCTGTGTGCACATGAAGACACAGAGGACAAGGGGGAATGGCTTTTTGGCTGTAAGGGTGGTGAGGCACTGGCACAGGTTGTCCAGAGAAGCTGTGGCTGCCCCATCCCTGGAAGTGTCCAAGGCCAGGTTGGACGGGGCTTGGAGCAACCTGGTCTAGTGGAAGGTGTTCTGACCCATGGCAGGGGGTTGGGACAAGATGGTCTTTAAGGTCCCCTCCAACCCAACCCATTCTGTGATTCTGTGATCACCTTTCTCACCGAGATCCCCACCATGGCCTCAGCTGCTCCCAGCAAGTGAGATGCAGCCCCAGGGAGGAGGCTCAGGTGGATGTGCCCGAGTGGTGTGGCAGCAAAATTCTGCCCTCGATGGCTACAAACCCCGGCTGGCTGGGGTTCAGCCCCTCCTTGTGGTGGGTCTTGCTGCTGTGCTTGGAGGCTCAGGGCTCTCTGCATCCTGCAAAACTGGGGGCAGGTCCTGGTGTCAAAGCCTGTCGCCCTCCCAAAGCCAGTGGTGGAGTCCATGGGGCTCCACGCTGGAATAAGGCAAACAGGATTTAACCTTTGCTACGGCGTGTCCCAGCCAAGAGCTATTGTTAACAAACTTGGACCCCGTCCACTTGGCCGGGGTGGTTATAAGAGCGGAGAGTAAATAATCTGACATTAAAAATAAGTTAATATTTACAAACTCAGGGCCCGCTCCTGCTTCCATCGCCGTTGAGGAAAAGGGTTTTGCCGTGGGCTTCGCCCTCGGAGGAGCAGTGCCCTGCCACAGAACGGGTTGGAAAGTATAGCAGCGCAGCTAAAACCCCTGTAAGCAGATTTTACACCCTGGCCCGCAAATACAATGGCAGGTACTGTTAGAGCAGGGCCTGGAAAAAAACCTCCACTGAAAAGATCCCCTTTACACCTCCACGCAGGTCTGTGGAATGTGATTTCTTCATTTGCCTCAGTATTTTACCTAATAATTTAAGCTGACACCTCTGTGGTGGCATTTTTTTAACGTTAGAAAAGGTGGCATTTTTTAAATATTAGAAAAAAAAAATTTAAAAAAACGGCCCCCATATTTTTCCTCCTCCCAAGAGGATTTTTACCCCCTCCCTTTTTTTATATCATCATCTTTCCGGTGCTTCCACTCCCACAAAGACAGGGGCACGTGCTTGACTGTAAGTATCCCAGTAATCCTATTCACTCCATGGGTGTTTGAATGCTTCCAGTTCAATATGGATGCAGGCTTGCCAGCCCTGGGGCCTGGGCTCTCAATAACTAACTTCATTGATGGATCAAGCCAATGCCTAAGGATAACTCTGAGCTATCACGGAAGTCGGAGCTGGAAAAGACCAGCAAGTTCCTCCAGCCTGTCTCGTTGCCAGTGCAGTGCTCTCCATTATTTCTCATCAGGAGGGAGATCCAGTTCCCTGGATATTTGGTTTAGCTTGGACACATCTGCTAAGGTCTGCAGATTTCAGTCCAAAAAAAGGTTATTTTTTCAGTTATATTTTCAAGTATTTTTGGGAACTTTTTGCCAGAGTGTCCTTTATTTTTTTTCCCCTGTGCTTCCAAGATGCCTATTTAAGCAATTTTTCATGCACCTGTAATGTAGAGCCCTGCATATTTATTTTAGGGGAAAAGGTGCAGGGGATGAATGTCTCATTAGCACTGCTTTAATCACTTAATTTTGGAGGGAAGCTGCCAAACTCCGAGCTAGAGCATTGTGAGGAGAGTTTTCAGGGGATTTTATTTCTCCTGGAGTTTTCTTGGCAGGGACAGGTTGCAAAGAACTGGTAGCTGAGCGGGTGGTGGAATTATAATCCAAAAATTGTCCACTGGAATTGCCAGGTAACCACATGCACAGATAGCAGAGCTGTTCCCACATGCAGACGCAGCAAATTTCAGCTCCTCCTGTGGGACCTGCTCCCTGCTCCAGTGGTTTGTGTGTTGGGTGCAGGTGCTGGTTTCCTCTGTGCTGCTTCTTGTGGGGTCTGAGATCCCATAAATCGGTTGCAGAGGGAGGGAGAACAGCTCAGCAGAGCACAGCGAATGTGCTGTGGGGCATCAGAGCCTCTGCTAAAACCTGGGGGAATTTGGGAAAGAGCTGGGTGCTTCCTGTGCAAAGCTTTCTCCTCCTCCTCAAGAGCCTTGGAGGGGAATTTTGGGGCAGAGCTTTCCCTCTGCAGTGGGAAGGGGTCTGTGCACCATGCAAGGGGTGGAGAGGACAGAGCACGGGGCTGGTGTGGACAAGAGAGGGGAGGAACCCTAAAACATTCCCAGAGAACAGCAAATAGTTCAGCTGAGTGAGGAAGACCAGGTGGTGACTCCCGGGGTTCCTGGGAATGCCACACGAAAAGCATCCACCGCTGAATTGCAGAATGTTTTTTCACACATGAGGGAGGTTTGGCTCGAGGGAAACCCAGGACAGGAGTCTGTGGTGTCAAAAATGGTGCTCCTAGGCCAAGATCTATAATATATAACTTTAAGCAGGTAATAAAAAACCATAATAGATAACACATTATATATATAATTATATATCTCTAACTGTGTATATCTCTGAGTATATATTAAAACATTGTTTAGAAACCTTTTTTTTTTTTATTTTTAATTGATGTTTAGAGCAGAGTTCCAGACAACACTAAATTAATATTGCTGCTCGGCCTCTTGGGTGGTGTTAGCAGGGTTAATGGATGAACTATAACCTTTAAATTAGGCACAGGTGCAAAAGCAGATTTGATAAACACCACCCAGGAGGCGGAAGGTAAAGGTGAAAAGCAAAAATACTAATGCCTTGAGTATGTTGCTTTGCCTCTGTCCAAACAAGCAGGGCAGGAGGAGCAAAACACTCGAGTAGTTAAAAAGTTACAGATAAAAAGTGAGATTTTATATTGTTTTGGTATTTGGTCGCTGCGACCAACAAAGAATCATCTGGTAGTTTTATGATGATAATTTGGTCTGGGTTAATATTTAGGTATTGGAAGAGGTTACCCAGAGAAGCTGTGGCTGCCCCATCCCTGGAAGTGTTCAAGACCAGGTTGGACGGGGCTTGGAGCAACCTGGGATAGTGGAAGGTGTCCCTGTCCATGGCAGGGGGTTGGAACGAGATGGTTTTTAAGGTCTCTTCCAACCCAAACCATCCTGGGATTCTGTGATTTTTCCAGTCTCATGTAAATTGGAGGTTAATTTCAGGGGCTGATATTTCAACAGGGATAAACTGAAAATTTTCCATGTTTTTAACAAAGATAAGTATAACCTGAGCTGACCACCAAGCCAGTTATATCCCAAAGTTACTCCAAAAAAATGAAGCTTGAGCAAGGAATTAGCACTTGGAGACATCCAAGCAGTGCAGGCAGTTTCTGACCAGTATCCTGATTCACCAAGGGATAAGGGAGCCTCACAGATGTGGGAACTATTTAGGACAAGGTGTTGTTTCCAACAGTTTTGAAGGCACTCAGCTGCCTGCAATCAAGTCACTGGTTAGTTTTTGGGAGAATATAGCTGGTATTTTAGGTAGGAACAAAATGAAGTGGAGAATTCATAGGCATCTCTGGGAAGAACAAACATCAAGCTTATTTTGTTGTGCTGAAAAGCCTCATGCACTAGCTATTGATTATTCTGTGAGTGAGCTGACAAACACAATGTTATTTATGGGACACAAAATTTGCGTTTATTAAAAAAAGAAAAAGGAACAACAGTACACAAGTCATAACTAAAGGAGTTAGCACATGGAGTCAGCTTTATTTTTTCCTTTTTGGCCCATCCTCCCTGGTCTTTGACATGTCATTAGTCCATGCTGGGAGGGAGAAAGTGGAGCTGCACACACATGACCAGAAGATGTGATGTTGCAGTCCACGAGAAAAGAAACAGCCAGAAGAAATGTAGGAAAGCACTTGCTCAAGGAGCCTGTGCTACATCCAAGTTATGTAATGGGTGTCTCCTAAAATTAAAAATAGTGGTTGACCCAAGAGCCAGGAAACGCTTTTCCAAGTTTTGGTCATTTTCCCGTTCGTGCGGTTTTGTGAGACCATTTTAGAGTGTGGTGTTTGAGTTCTCCTGGATGCTTTATCACAGTCCCTTCTCTTTTCTGCTGGACTCAAGTCACAAGTCCTCCTGCCTTTGCAGAGCAGATGTTCCCCAAAAATGCCGTGTGGAAGGGCGTGATGACGGTAGAAGGTTCTCATTCTTCCCCTTGGCCAGGACTTGTAAGAAATTGCGGCTGGACTTGGCCACCCATTGATCATCAGCGCTTTCCTGTGGTGTTTTTACAGTAATCTTCTGGTAAGGTCAGTGCCCCTTTTGCTATGGCATTGCTCCTATGGCCAGGGAAAAGCACTAATTAGTTTTTTTCCTTCCTCAAGAGAGGAAAACAGAGAGGAAAGAAAAATCCACTCATGCCCCATAACCTCTCTGCCTGCTGCCAGCTTTCTTGTCATGGATGTGAAGAGGCCATCACCAGAAGATAGTTGAGATGTTCATTCCAAGAATTGGTATCTCCCCTTGCCAGATCCCTTCTGAAAACCCCTCCAAGGTAATTTTTTTTGATTTTTTTTTTTTCATTTTTATAGCTGCAGAGACAAAGACTGAGGAAGCAGCACCAAGAGAATCAGCATCTCCCTCTGCCCTAGGAATGGGACTGCAGCTCTGACGATCTGCAGATTGAAAAGAAGCAAAGCTGGAGGAAGAGGTGCCGTATAAAAAAATTTATGTATCTTTTCAAATAGTTGTAAAAAACCAGCTGAGCCTTGAGAAGACAAACCTTTCCTTGTAATCTCTTAAGTGTGATTATGTGCTTTGTCACCCAAATGTGCAAACACCATAACGCTTTTAAATTTAACCAAAATAATTCTAAGCCTTATCTGAGATGACTACATTAGAAAACAGTGAAAATGTTAATGCTAACAACGGGGGTTTTTTTTGTTCTCTAAATTCCTATCTTTAATTTAATATAACACACTGCTGTTTTAAAGGGATATTAATATTCTTTTCAAAGTGTTTGGGACTTTTACATAATTTAAAAAATATTTGCAGCTGTTTTGAATGTATCTGCAAGTACTGATAGACAAAAGGCATGGATATCCATAAGAACGTTGTCATAATACATTCCATATTAACGTAAGCAAAAAAGAATGCTTGCTCAGGAATACCAAAAAAGGTGATTGGAAGACCCACTTCTGTGGCCTTAACATCTTCCTGCTAAGCAAGTTACACTCCTTAATTTTTTTTTTCTTTTGCTGCATTCTTAATTGGTTACTTGCATCTGCCTTTTAGAATTAGCAGCTTTTTTGCATTTGGATCATCCATAGAGCTGAGCTTGGGCCATTTGTTTTAGATTTCCAGGAATGATTTATTTGTACTGTAATGGGATGGAATCATACAGTGTTTCCCCATTTGTTTTCAGACTTAGTTCAGGGTATGGTTTAAGCTCTCACAGTATATCTGGGAGTGCCGATTCCACCCTCGTGTCCAAGGCCCACAAATCTTTTCTTCCCCACTGTTTGCACCTTTCTCTCACTGCATAAAACTTGGGGTCCCAAAGTCAATAGTACATTAGGGGGGGAAAGGGGTGAGATTATCACAGATGCTGAAGAATTTACTCCTGGTTTAATCATTAAAGGATGGAGTGTGTGTGTGTCTAAATTACACGGTAATGAGCAGGGCAAAACCCTTCTCAAATAAATTTGTTTTCCCCTCCACGCTCTGCATTATTTTAGAAGTCCTGACAGAGGGTGGGATCTTACTTAGGCTTTGTGTTGGACATAGGCATAGCAGGAGAACCTCTTTGGGAGGGGATATCCACTAAAGTTACTTTATTTTCCTTCCTTTCCAGTCATTGGGATGCTGTATGGATTTAGAAGATAGCAGTCTTTTCCTATAATAACTGACAACTGTGGAAACCTAGAAAAATATGGTGTATGGGATCTCATGGAGCTGCCTTGTCAACTCCTCTTTCCACAGTAGGACTGGCTATAAAAAAAGACTTCTATTCCTTTTCATCTTCTGTTCTTCCAGCCTTTATGTTAAAAAAAGAGAAAAACCAACAAACCCAGAGCAGCAAACCAACAACAAATAATACTGGGGAAAAAAAGAGGGAAGCAACAATTTTTATGGCACACTCAAAGCTGCTTATGGCTGTGTTTGAGGGCAATTCCGTGTCCACGGTGCTTTATGGCAATTTTGTTGAGTTGTTGCACAGATCTGGGCTTATAATGAATGAACTGTCCCTCTCGCCGTGATAATAGAACATGAGAGTATAAAAACTTTGAAGTGCAGGAGGCAGCTGAAAAGAAAACAATAAACTATGTATATGAGACTAGCTTGTTGCCTGGTGATTAAGAGATGAGGACCCCGTAGGTCAGCTCCCTATAGGTACAAACAGATGTTTGCACTGTTTCACAGCTGCTAAATATGATATAAATCCAAAGAATTTCTCATGTTTTTATAAAGTTTAAAAAAAAAATACCCAGACAGCAAATTTTTGGTCATTCAGATACTCTTACCAAATGACATCTGGTTTCTGTACTGCTTATTTAAGCAATCCTTAAAAAAATGTTTGCCAAGGGGAATAACTCAAACCTTTTAGTTCTTCACCATATATAACTGTACAGTTTAGATTACAATGTAGCATGCAGAGTTTATTATAAGCAATGCAGTTCTTCATTTCTTAGCTAGCAAGTATTACTTTAAAGAAAATAGGATAAATATTATGTAATTAGTTCAGGGAAATTCATGTATAGTTACATTTCAGAGTACCCGGGTTTCAGATCCAAACGATGACAAAGAAAATGAATTGTTTCCATATGTTAGGAGATAGCCCGACAGTTACGAGTTAAGGCACAAAAATGCAATGGGGGCTCCCATTAAATGGGAATAAATGACTGCAGTAAGTGGAGGATTGGGATGGGAAGGTGCTCTGAAGGCACCGTCACGGCCGTCGGGACCAAAGGAGAAGGAGAAATGGGTGGATTCACCAGCGGGAGATCAACAAGTCTTGTGTTTTGGTGTGGGTTTCTACTCAAGCTGTTGGTTCATGCGCCCCTATTTGAGCATTCATGAGGTCTTTCTGGGCTCTCTGTGGTCTGAGAAAGGGTTGTGTCTACACTGGTGACATTCCTTCAAGGCATGTGCTAATGAGTCTGCCACTCCTACCTGGCCACCTACTATCACGGAGCACATGGGAACTTAATACCCTCAAACCCTTTATCCCTGTGCCAAAATTGGTTGATATTGGCTAATGGGCTCAGAAGTTATTTTCTTTGGGACTGAGAGGGGACAGACGGACTCGATCTTAGGGAACATAATTGCCTGCACCTCATGTCTGCTGGAAGCCAAGCTAAAAATCTCGGTATTAAGCTTATCATATAAATTATATATGCATGTATTTTACAGAGGAAGATTTATTGCCTTCAATATCTAGGCATTTCATGCTTTTGAAGTAATGCATATTTTGATCCAACAAATACTTACACTTTCAAGTCTCCCAGTGTACTGAGGGTCCAATAAGGCTGCTTTTTTTTTGAGAAAGATAAATCCCAAAGAGCTGAAGAACCAAAACTAGCCTATGATCTATGTGTTTTCTTTATGGCCTCTACTGCCATTACTATTTCAAAGGATTAAGGCTAGAAAGGGTGTACTGCCCATTAGGACCTTTGAATGCTGGTTATTGACCTATTCAACGTTCTCAGCTGCTGTGACTCAGTGACTTCCACCCTTTTTGAATTGGTGGATGTGCAACTTTTTCCAGTTGTTTTGGATCTAATGAGTATGCTTTTCTTCATTTCTTTTCACAGGCCTGTCTGTTAGTCTGCAGACAGGAATTTGCACGTCCACAGTGACCATAACATTAAATTTATCTGTATCTGTGGTCTTTCTCGAGGTGCCTGGTAATCAACAGCTTTCTTCTCTCTCTTTGTCCAGCAATTCCAGTGCAACAATTATCATGAATCATCCATTTTGTATATATCTCAATGACTGGTTGGGCTTATTTTCACATGAATACACACATCCCATAGCACTGCTTGGTAGCTTGAAGCAAAATGCGGTCATATGTTGTCCAGTAATGACATGATTGCATTTTTGTCTGTACTTTTTTTCTCTTCTTGATTTGGTCTGTTGCCACCATTGTGGGATGCACTGGACTAATTGCCCATCAGATGACAGGAGAACGTGCAAGTCCTTGAAAGTGGAAGCTTGGTTTGTATGGATGAGAATGGAACAAGCAGTGAGTTTATTCTCCTTTGTAAGCTATATTTTAAACCGTCTTTTGGGGTTGGGGCTGTTAATTTTGTTCCATGTTTGAGCAACACACTGGGATCCTCCCCCAGGGCAGAAGAGTCAAACCCTGCTGCAGTGCAAGTATTGCTGCAGTTGTAATTAGTGGTAATAACAACTGTTGTGGTAGCAATCTTAAGAAATATTAATAGTGGGACTGGTTTAATTACAATGGTCCTCATGCCTGTGGTGGTTTTACCCTTCCTCTTTCTAAAGCTCCTGCAGCTTGCTTTCATTTTATTACCAGTCTTATCAGACTGGATATTGCCCAAAGTGGTACATTTGAAGGGTATTTTCCTGACAAATAAACAAAACCCCCCAGTGGTTAATTTATATTATTCCTCTCCACTCTCTCTCCAGCCAAAACACAGATTTACTCCTCCTGCCACAGACCCACAACTTCCTGTTTAGTAGGAAACTTGATTAACTTGTTGGCTCCGTCAGTCCCGAAGGTCTTGCTTTTATTAGGGAGAAAATTGTTTGTTCTGCTTCCACAAGATTTCACTGGGAAGAATTGTTCACAGTCAGGTGTTCCAGGCACAGCTTTTAACTCGAGTTAAATAAGAGCAAACCACCACAGGGGCAATTTTTGGAGAAGACACGGTGCTTCAATGTTGCCTTAGGTGTTACCAAGCTGAGATAAACTCGGTTTGCAACTAGATGTGGTCACCTGGGAGGCACCACGCTTGCTCTAGTTTTTAAAAAGGTATGAGCATGTTTCAATATGTGAATGTTGTGTTTTGGTGGATTTTTTTGGTTTTGTTTTTGTTTTTGGTTTTTTTTGTGTGTGTGTTTTTGTTGTGGTTGGTTTTTTTTGTTGTTGTTTTTTGGGGGTTTTTTTTTTGGTCTGATTTAAATAAACAGACTAATTCTTGCAGGTGGAGAGAAATTAATCTTCTAGTTGTGTCTTGGCCTCTGCTGACCCTGTGAAACTCCAGCCAAGGGCCCAGAGGGATTGACCAGTTTTGTTTTCACTCCTGCTTTTCTTTCCTGCCCTGGTGTGCAGCGATGTGCTCTGGCAAGGGGCAGGGGGTACTGACAGTGTTTGGCACAGAGGAGGAAATCAAGAGCTTCACACCTCCTGAGAGCAGGTCTGGTTCCCCAGGCTTCAAACCAGAGACCTGCATTTGATGGAGGAATTATTTCTAAGTTTCGTAGGTCTTGGGAACATTTTATCCTAAAGTCACAGTGCCACCATATAAGAAAATATTGTTTTCTATATAATTCCTGGGAGGTTCTGTTCAAGTTTTTTTTTTTTTACTCTTTTGATGATGGGGTAAGCTTGACTTCTGCTACAGGAAAATACAAAAGTGGGAAAGAGGACTTTTGAGGTGAGGATTATGTCCATATATTATAGCAGACCCAGTAAGAACTTCATAAATCCTTAAAATATTACTCTTCCTGTAAGAAATGCAGTGTATTTGTGACGGTGCAACATGCTACCATGCATTCAACTGCGTGGTCTTTACTGGACATCCATAGGTAAGTACCATTTCTGTGTACATTACAGGATGGTCTAAAGCTTTTTAAACAAAATCAGACAGAGGTATTACTTTAGCAGAAAGCTTTTACATTGATTTAATGATGTTTGCAAATATTTCTGCAAGGATAAACATCTTTGAAGAAGCCAGTCTAAATAAAAAATGCTGCAGCAAACGAGGAATACCCTCACTGGGTGTACTCCAGCTGTTGGGGTTCACTGGATGAAAACCAAGTGATGACAGGCATTAAGTAGAAACTATCTTTTCTTAGTGATCATCACAGTAATCTGAAAAGGTGGAGAGGGGAACATCACAGGCTCTTCTGGGTCTAAACCCAAATTAGCATGAACACCATCAGCGCTTCTCGAGAAGCGAGCGCTCACCAACGCTCCACAGCCAGGCTACCGTGTCGTGTAAACATGTAATGTGATGCAACTTGTCTGCTGGTTGCAGACTGAGTTTGACATTTTTGCTTAATTCACCATAGCCATGTGAGGGGAGCGCACGCTTCACACAAATTCCACTTTGTTACTGCTCTGCACTGTTGCAGAGGCAGCACTTCTAATTAGAGACTATCTCCACATTTGGCTTGGCAGCCAAAATAAACTTCTAGGAGTTGCATGCTGCATGGCTTTTATCTCCACTCTGGTGGTGGGCTCTTTCCAGCAGTACAATTGCAAACACATATGGAGACCAAGGACATAAACATTTTGGGGTGGTGCTGGTGTTCAGTTACTGTCTCTCAGCATCGCTTTGGAAAGCCCCATCCAGCGAGGTTTCTCTTACACATGACTCTCCAGTAACATTGAGAGGGAAAAGGTTTCAGCCTGAGGAAAGGTTGGGAGCTGGGGTGTGTAAGAGCACGAGGAAAAGGAGCATATTGGTGAGAGGCTGTGGGGGAGTGACATGGGGGGTCTCATGCATCAATCTTGGGGGTCTGTGTACCAAGGCGAAAGACCAGCTTGTTTCAGGACATCTCACCTCACCTTGACCAAAATGACACCCAACAGAGGTAGAGAGGATGCCCACATTTTTGGTCACGTCACATGCCACCCATCTGCAGCCAAAGGTTGTTTTTGTACTGTGACTTGCAGGGGCCAGCTGCATTTGGGATGGGTTTTCAGGAGCTTTAAATGCGGCACTGAAATCAAGTACCAGAGTTCATCCTCTACACCTGCCCTTCTGTCGGTAACCCATTGAGTTAGACATTAAGGGAAACACAAGTTTTCTCCAGGTGGAAAAACATTGAGTGGTAACAGAGGAAAACGTAGCTTTGGACGATAAAACCCAAGACCAACGTGGTTCCCGAGCCTCCCGACTCCCTTTTGGAAGAAACAAAATCCCGGAGCAGCCCAGCATAGACAGAAATGTGCTCCTCGTGCTGTTTTATGCAGGGCTTCGTTATTTCTCCGCCACCAGAACCGATTGCAGTGACACCTCTGGAGCTGGGCAGACCTCACCCCGTGCCGAATTCCTTTCCGCTGAGGCGTGCCAGCAGCCCACCCCGCGCTCCAGATGTTGCTGCTCTCTGAGAAACAAGAGCTTAAAAAACCAGGCTCACCCTTCCTCCTGGGGTGAACCCAAAGACAGTCAGGGATGGAAAATTGCTACTCAGTACCATGAACAATGCACTTGGTCAAAGAGCAGTGCCAGCACTTTGTCTTAATAGAAGGGAAAGCCGAGACGCGCGGCACAAAAATCCGAACTGGCGGCGGCCAGAGACTTTAACATACATTGAAAACTATCCATGAAAGAGCACACTTAAACCAAGAGAAAAAGCCTGGAGGTCTATTTAGACAAACTGGAAAAGAGCAAGGGTTGGGGAAAAAAAAAAAAGATTGTGTGGCTTTAATAGGTTACATTTTTCCCAGTCTGTGTTTCACTTGTGTTTCTTTTATTGGCTTCTCATGAGCACATGCACCACAAAAACACACATATGCACAGGACTGTAAAAAAAAAAGATCTTATAATTTGCACACACAGGACCCAGTTTTGCAATTGCCCAGAAGTGTTGGAGTTCTGATCCTATAGAATTTTGGTCATCATTGAAGGTTTATGCAGAGGTGGATGTTGGACAGATCCTGGATATTTATGTGCTCAGTGTTGTGTGCTTTTGCAGAGCGAAGTGACTATACCACTGGCTTGTTGTCTTGTTCCCTGCTTTGTTTTCCTGCCTCCTCCTCCCACACTTCACAAATCAGGAGACTTTCTTCCTTGCTAGAGCCTGAAACACAACAGTCAGGAGTCAGGAAACACAACATCCTCCTTTTTCTGGGGCAAGGTGACTCAGGACTGATGTAGTAACTTACCAAAAATCACACTGGGAAAGTGTCTAGGCCAAGATGTGCACCTGGGATCTCACGTCCTGCTCTTGCACAATCATCCTCCCAACATTCTGAGCCCTCTCCCCACTGGGCTCCGCTCTGATCGGTCCCACTTCAGGTCCCAGCAGAGCTCAAGGCACTAAAATGCTGCTCCTGGCCAGGCTGGCAAGTGCTGTTGGAACACTGTCGTAGGGAAGTCGTCTGACAGTGAAATAAATGAGCTCTTCATTGCTGGGATGGTGACCAAGACCGGAAGGGAGTGCAGGGGACATCGGTCCGGATCCAGGCATTGTGTCCTTGGGTGCAATACCCTGCAGACACGGAGTGACAACATTTCTCCATGAAGAGTCTCATTAGCTACCAGGCCTCGATTTTCGGTGAGCTGTTGCTTGGTGGAAGGCGCTGGAATCTGGCCCGGAATAACCTTCCTCCAATTCCTTCCTCCCTGAAGCTGCAGGAGCCTTTCTGCACCCCCATTCCGCATGGCCAAGCCCAGGCCCCAGGAGACCAGTCCTGTGCACATCCCGAGCTCAGCACCAGCCCATAAATCTTGCTGCTGGATGCAGGCAGTGAAATATGAACAAAGGAAGCCACCATGCAGGGGGGGTGGGTAGGGTGGGGAATCGCTCTGGCACCCTCCTTGCTCGGAAAGAAGTGAGAAAACATGGCTTTGTGTTGCTGTTGTTGTAGTTGTTGTTTTATGGTTTCTGCAGATGCTTCCAATAAAAGAATTGTGAAACTATTCCCATCGGTGGCCTGTCCTCTACCCGCAGTAGTGACGGAGGAGATTGTTGGATTTCCGTCAGCAGAACAATTTGAGTGTGGACTCCACTACTACAAATATAAGAGAGCTCTCCATTTGCTGCCTGCCAAAGAAACAGGTGATTTTTTTATTTATTATTTTTGGATGCTGGCAAGTGATGATGATAATCAACTGCAACTCAAACGCATGTGTCCTAATACTTCTGTTAACATGACTTTCCTTCCTGGTCTGCGGTCTGCTGATGATGTTTAATAATCGGTGTTAATAATTAGTGTTCTGGGGCTTAAACCATGATCTCTGCCTGCACCAATATTTGTAGCTTCCTGGTGTGCTCCAGGGAAACACATGAGACCATTGCAGACCAGTCACTG